AATTTGGCACAGGTTTAGGGCATAGTCTGGAAGAACACATAGGCTACTTTTTATCCCGGGAATAGTTACGGTTCCCGTGGGATTCATTAATTTAGTTGTTTAATGTTTAAATTTGGCACAGATATAAAACAAAGACTGGAGTATACGTGGGATAAGATTCATCCCCGAGAAATGTCCGGTTCCCGAGGGATACATAGCTTTTTGTTATTTATATAGTTCGTATGTTTTCTAATACCACGCGGACAAAGTCGCGGGCAACAGCTTGTAATTCTATAAAATGAATACGTGCACATTACAAAACTTATAACAAAGAGTTCCACTGCGCATAAACATAATTATGCCATCTCTTTCATTCTCTTTTAATAAATGAGATAGCAATATATTCACGTATGGAAACTGACGTTAAAGATGGCCGCTCGACTTGTCCCGCCAAATTACGCTGACTTGCATTACGTTAATCCAGTGACACACTTAACAGCCAGTTACACGAATTGTTATTACATTTTTTTAGACGTAAACAATTTAAATTAATCTCAAGTTAATTGCTTTATTAATCAATCTTGAATCGAATTCTTGATGCTCAGATCATACTAATATTATAAAAGCGATATTTTTGACATATTATTGTTTGATATTACGTATCTCGAAGAAATTTGGTACTGATGTAGAACAGACTGGAAGAACACATAGGTTTCTTTTTAAAAATTTGACATAGACAGAGTCTCGGGCATAAGCTAGTTCTATAACATTAATAGGAATCCTAAGAAAATTTATCTAAATATTATTCCCGGAAACACTTTTTACACAAAAAAGTATTCAAATTAATATGAAAATCTAGCGAATACATTTCCGACGAAAAGAGTTGCATCTTATATCAAACTATCGCACAACTGTTGTGCGATTGTCGATTGTCTCCAGCCCATTCAACAGTATAGTAGCACAACTAAAAATCGAGTAGTGTAATCTCCATATAAGCTCATAGAAATCAAAGCCAGACTAAACAGTTGTGCGATAGTTTAGTTTCAGGAAGCCTAATTTTAGTCCCTTTCCCTTTCCGCACTTTTCTTATAAGGAAACGACGGGAGGAAAAGTGGATATGACGGTAGAGGATTCGCATAAGAAGGGCAAATATCCTCTTTATGTGCGTCCCCTCCTCCGTCAATAAGGGTAGGCAACGCATGGTAACGTTGGGCAGGCTTAGACATCTGCAATTGCAGAATTGCAGATGTCTAAGGCTGCCAAACTATGGTCGCTTGCTCGTTTGCCACCTTGATATAAAAAAACAAATCTTTGTTCAGCATCCAAGGTGATTGTCCTTACTTGTAACACTTACAGAAATAAAGTAAACCAAAATTTGGCAACAAATTCAGTCATGCGTTAAAATATCTTCCTTAATTTATTTTATGGTAATTAATGTCATAAAGTTCAGAATGGCTTCACAAAGTAACGGAACAAAGAACAATATACGAGGACAAAATTAACTTTCACGACGATTCATTATAGGATAGTCAGAGGTAAATGAAGCTTTGCATCATCTTAATGAGAAACACTAGCTTTTACTCGCGATTTCTTTCGCTCGGAATTAGAAAAAATCTATCAATAAATATGGTGTCTATTCAGTGTTATGTAGTTTTTAATTGTAAGAGAATTTTGGAAATCGGTCTAGTAGTTTGAGTTTATTAGTAAAATACAAATCCTTTCCTCTTTATAACATTAGTATAGGTTAATTATTCAGTAATAGAGTAAGTAAATATGATGATATTTGTGTTTTAAATTAGCTGAAATACAAATTTAACTAGATGTCAATTTAATGCTAGAGTACGGTAAAATTTTGCGTACGAAATGAATGTGTGAAAAAAATACATTACAATTAAAATACGTGATGAAACAAGAGAGTTGCTTGCTCTATGTTTATGTAAACTATTTTTAAATAAACTGACAATAAGTTTAAAAAAAAACCAGCGAAGATATTTATAAATGTAAAAGCTTAAGAACATTCATATTTAAACTAATTTAAATAATTTAAATAATATTGCTCGCAACTTCGACCGCGTAATTTAAAAAAAAATGAAAAACAGCTATTTAATGTTGCAAGATTTTTTGAAATCGTTTCAATAGTTTTTGAGTTATTTCAATACATACAAAAATCCAAAAATACAAATTTTTCCTCTGTATAATATTACTATAGATAAGATTTTTTAACACGAAAAAATACCGGACAAATAAAACCGCAATTTAAACGACAAAATCTTTCTACACATATAAAATAAAATAAAATAAAAAATATATAAAAAAATAAAACTTACAATAAAACATCCCAATATAAAATCCTACAACAGCGATTGACAATTTAACGACATCGTTTGTGGTATCAAAATCGAATCTTTTTAAAAATTCACTCATAATGTAAGCTTTCACGGGTCCCGCGTTACACTGATTGTCCACCATTATAAACAAAAAATGTATATTTTTATTTTTTATTTCTACGATAACCCGACGACCGGCTGATAGAAAATGCACTCGCAAACAACATGCGACAGTGTCAGTTATAAAACGTATGCAGCACGCAACGTCTCACTTGGAAATGATTTTGTTGTCATGACAAACTGCTTACAAGTTTTATCTTTTTCACATATAACTAATCTATCTCAACGGTCTATCTGTGTAGACATTTTTTTTTTAAATTTCATTACGTATCAACTGCCAGAACAAAGGGTACTTGTTTGAAGGTTAATATAAAAACTAGCTTTCGTACGCGAATTAAAAAAAAGTCGCTTAACACTTCCAGACATATATCCCTACATATATCCCATTTCATTGAGATCCGTTCAACATTCTAGGCTACAAACTTCTAATTTTACTCGTATAAATGCGAAAGTTTAGATAGATGGATGGATGGATGTTAGAGTTTGTAGCCTAAACGGCTAAAGGGATTTCGATAAAATTTGGTATAGATGTGAAGGACAGTGTGGAAGAACACATAAGCTACTCACTTTTGTTCAATCCAATCCAAGGGCGGATCCAGCTTTGGCACCAGGACGTGGGAGGGGTCACAAAGTCGTGGTATGGTCAATATATATTGTCAAGCTCTTGACCCACCAGCTCGGGGAG